TCCAGAGTATTAATTTTTTTGTTTTAGTAGCCAATTAACTTATCTAGGAACAGACTCAAAGTTCAATCTTGTTTTTGGTGGGAAGTGGCTGAAATTGCTGTCCGTTCATTATGAATCCTCTGGGATGCTTGGAGACTGCCCTGCACATGCATATTTCAGAGGTTAGTCACAGATTTGGGCAAAGTTGTTTATATACAGAATGTGGGACTCCCCACCTCTGGTGCTCTCCTTTCAAGGATTCCCATCCTTTTCACTTTCTAACTGCTGTGAATGCCCTAAAGTCTGCCCTCTGGTTCTTCAGGATCATATGATTATAGTCTTCTATCTAAGTTTTTCCCACTTTACCTAGTATGTACTGGGGTCTGTGCTCAGTAAAGACAAACAAACAAACATAAAACCAGTCATTTGAGAGTGGATTGAATAACTCTGCAGGAATTAAATTGACAAACCTATCAGCTAATAGCAATAAGGGAGTAAAGGAGTAATCAAAGATACACACACAGTGTTTCTCTTATCAGGAGTCTTCCTTTCCTCTGCACACATCAAAAGCCAATTCATCCTTCCAGGCACAGCTTAAGCTTCCTTACTCAGTGGACCATTTTTCATTTCCACAAAACATCAAGCAGGCACTACCTTGTGTTGTATGGGGTTTTGTGGAGTATACATCTTGCACTATCCAATTGATTTCAAGCTCTCTGAAATTAAAAGCATGCTTTATGCATCACTGTACAGTCATAGGGCCTATCACAGATTACCTTCTCCATAAATACTTTCTGATTAATAGATTCCCCCACTAATCTCACCTCACAGTGTCTCCGATAACAGAGAAATAGCTCCTAAGCATCTTTAATCCTCACCGTGCATTCTTAACACTTACTGAACCTCCTCTCAGAAAGAACTGCTACTCTTGCTATCAAGTTTGCTGATCAGTTTATAATATCAGGTTTTGCCAAAGTTGCCCATTTTAAAGAGACAGAAGAAATACTGTACTGAGAAGAGAGAACTGTTCTTTTTGGGTAGCTAAAGACCTGAGGAAATATACTGGACTGGTAAATATGTCCCTATAGAATGGCTCTAGCAATGCTCTGCCTGTCTGACTTCGATTAGGAAGAAAGGGAACAAAAGAAACACACTGTCTGTAGCTTTAGGGCACTCCCTTTGGTCCTTACCTGTTGATACTGGTGCAAAGAAAATCCTGGGCAGGTCTTAAAAATGTTGATGCTCTTTATTGCAGGCATAATACATGTTAATATGCAGCTGCTCACACCCAAAGGCTTCTTAGTATAAATAACAAAATGCAAAATTGTAATAAATGAAGGTTCTATACTTGTGGAAATTTCCCAGAAGGCAGTAAATTGAAACAGCACAAAACCCCACAGCAATAGTAACAGAAAGGAAAGCCGAGGTGCCTTGGGTCACAGAGCCCTGAAGAGCTCCCAGCAAGGCCAATGGAGAGAGCAGCTGGAATCCCCCATGAGAAGAGCCCATGACTAGCTGACAATTTGATGGAGCTTATTTTAAAGCTATACACACACACACACACAACAATTCACCTCTCCTGCAATAAATGGAAAGAGGTCTCAAGACACAAAGAAGTCTCCAACCCTTATTCACTATCTCTTCATCATGCCAGGGTTGGCTTGATTGAAGGCAAATAATTTTTAAGAAACCTCTATAAATTAAGGATGGGATTTAGGGGCCAAAGCAGAGGCAAAGGTGGGACAAGCGCAAGAATAGAACAGGGGCAGGTTAATTGCTGCCCCCCCCCCCCACGACTCTGCCCTACACACCTCTCCTGGATGTACAGGTGACAATGCAGCTGAGTGTTCCCGTCAGCCTCTCCTGGAGCTTGACCAGTGAGCCTTTACTTTATTAAATAGACCCAGCAGGGAGAACAGGTGCATTCTGAATCCCTTTTACTCTATCTTCCCTGAAGCCTCCACAGCCCTGGGGTGGGGTCAGTTCAACACAGGGACATGATTTGTTTCCAGTCTCACTCCATTCCTGGATTATGAGCGCCATGAGGACAGAGATTCCACCTAACTCATCCTTGTATCCTTCGTGTCTAGCAATGCAGAGCTTGGCACTGAGTCAGCACAATACATGTCTCTTGTTAGCTTTGTGCCTTGGTTTCCCCATCTTTAAATAGGGATAATTAAAATAGTTAATTCACAGGATCTCATTGTTAAGATATATTAAATGAGTTTAAACATTTAAAGCATTAAATCAATGCTATGCCATTGTAAATGTCCAATAAGTGCTATTCGTTATTATACTAGTTGTTATTACTAATATTATTAAATTGGATCATCACAATTGATCTTTTATTAAAAAACGTGATTTTTAAGAACACCTATAAAGATGCCCTGTTTTAACATATTTCCCTTGTTGAAATCAAAATTCCACATAAAGATTAAATATCTTTTGTAAAAAAATTTTTCCTTTACCTACTGATCTTTTCGAATATAAAACCTCTAGGTGAAGAAAGACCTTAAGCCTCTAAAACCTTGCTAAGTTTGAGTTTTTAACATGATTTTTCCCTAGGCAGAATGGAAGCACTGAGAATCTTAGTGAGGGGAGACAGCACAAAGATAGAGACTGTTAGAGAAAGGTGACGACAGAGGGATAAAGACAAATTTATTGGGGTTCAGTTTTTTCATTTATAAAAGGAGTTGGCTGGCCTGCATGACTTCTAATGTGCTTTCATTTCTCATAAGCCATAAGCTCATTTAATAAGCTAACTTGTTTGAATTTAAAGTTTTATCTAAGTTCAGACTTGCCAGCTGTTAGGCCAAAATGCAGTCTCCTGGTTTTACTTTGGAAGCTAGCTTTCTGATTATCTGGGCTTCCATTTCCTTACCTGTCAAATGGGTTGAGCAGAAAGACTGAGAGCCTCTTGTACAGTTTGGATCTCAATCTGTTCCCAGTTTCTCAGTGACAGCCCAAAGAAAGTCCCATGCCAGGAATTCAAGCCATAACTACTACTACTATAGTCAGCAGCTGTGTAGACTACCATCTTCTGCCCAAGTGTTCTTTCTTAGAGCCCTGTAACTTGGTGTTATATGTAGGCAAGTTCTTTGATATAAAATGACTTTGTTCCTGCACTGGTTGTATATGTGTGTGTGTGTGTGTGTGTGTGTGTGTATATTCACACACATGTGTGAACAAAGGCAGGCATGGTGTATGCAGAACAATGCTACCCAAGAATACTCTTCCAACATCAGATTTATGAAGATATAATGTAGTATGTCCACTTTATAGGTAGAGAAAATTGTCTACAGAGTCCTACCCAAAGGTTTCCCCTCATGGGCCAATCCTGAAGACTCTGTCTCCTTGTTACACATCTGTGAATGGGTCCTTACACTCTTGTGAGTAGGCTTCCCACAAGAAGCACTGGGTAACATCCTGAGAACAAAGTAACATATTTTCAAGGAGCAGAGATTGCAGAACCAATGTAAAACTAACCAGGTCTTACAGTCCCATCAATTCCACCTCCAGAGAAAACCCATCCTGAACTATAAAATATTGCAATTCCCCAAAGAACAATTCAACAATAAAGGCCAGAAATCCTCCAAATAAGAAAGATTACCAAAAAAAGAAGAAAAAAATCCCTAGTGTTACATCTAAAGATGCAAATGAGACCTCATATATAACATCGTGCCCGGCTTCACTGATAGTACCCAGATTTCTGCTCCCCCCATTCCGGCCTGGTGAAGACCAACAGCACTGCTCTAGGCTGAGCCCTTCTTCTTTGTTCTAACTGCTGGGAAGATGAAGATGCCCAGTGGGTATTTTCAATCATTCAGCCTCCTCACCTCCAAACTTAAGAAAAAGAAGTGGGGGTAGCGAGAAGGTTAAAGTGCCAACCTTTTCCTCCCATCTCTTTTAGCTTTTCAAATGGAAAGAAAGGGGAAAGGTGAGATGATTTGGCTGATATCCAAGCCAGGAAGAGAAAGATCTGAGGCCCTGCTAGGGAGAGTAAAGAAAAGGGTCTCATATCCAGAGGTAAATAATGAGGCATTTCTGCTTGCCAATAGAATCCAAGGAAAATATTTATTAACTGAGAAGCTGCCCAGGCCTCTGGGATTCATAGGTGGAAAAATCTAGCTCACAGACTTCCCATTGGCTGTTCTGGGAAATCTAGAGAATTCAAACACGAAAGTGCAGCAAGTAGGAACCAACCCCTTCCTGCCTGTGCCTTCCAGTAAGAAATGGCAGTAAGAAAGCTGGCTCTTTAGTGCTGGGGCCATGGATCCCAGGGTCCCTGTGGTAGAGTATACGAGCAGCCCTACTGAAGAGAAAAGCCAGGGACATTTAGAGAGCTGCGAGTCTTGCTGCAGGCCTTAGATGAGTGACAGAACTGTGAGTCTTGCTGCAGGCCTTAGATGAGTGACAGAACTGTGGCCATGAGAGCAAAGGTGAGTCCACACTGAAGGGGATTCCTTGTACCTAGACAGGGATGTATGGTGGGCTGTGCGGCTGCTCAGCTCCTGGAGAGATACACAGGGCTGAGCTAGAAAGAGCCCGTTAATCTGGAAGGCGGATGGCACCAGTAGTGGAAACTAAGCCCTTGCCACTGGAGATCAGGGAGGGAGGGGGGAAGGAGGGAAGACTCCATTCATGAAGCAGCAGCTGGCAGTGGGGCTGTTGTGGTCAAAAGGGGAGTCACAGCTGAGGCTTCTGGGTGAGAACACAAACCAGGCTCTTGGATGATTTTTGGCATCCAAATGCCCACTTAGACTAAGTGTTCAGTGGCTGGCTCTCTACCTGTGTTACCGGCACATTGGGTTCTTGTTATCCCCCAGGACGGAAATCAAGAGAGGCAGCAAACAGCAGTAGAAAAGTATAAGTTTATTAGCTTATGTACAGGAGAGGCACAAGGGAGCCAGTGCGGAAAGGAAAGGGGCAGGTGACTGGCTCGTTAGGGAGTGGGACTGTGGAGGCTTTCATTAGGCAAAGGCTGGGGAGGAGTGCCTTGTCATGGCGTGTAGAGGCGGGGTTGTGCTTGCACCTGCATTGTCGCATAGCACACTCCTACATGCGACACATGTATCATTAACATGCTAGCTCTCCACCCCTGGGTGTGATTTTTACTCTGGTAATAGGGCTAGGGTCACCTTCAGTGGACTCCTGGGTGCTAGGGCACGTGCGTAAGCCCACAAAAGTCCAGAAGCTGCGGAATGTGGATCTTGGTGGCCTCTGATTCTCCTATCTTGCTGATTGGTTAGGGGCCTTATGTTGTTAGGCCAGGGGCCTTGCAGATGGCCCTGTCTCATTAGGCTGGTGCCTGTCTCACTTGGAATCTTCCTTTGGGTCTTTCGGCAAGGGAACGGAAAGTGTTGGGGTTGTAGAGTGACTTTCCAAGGGAAGGATACTGCAGGGAAGTTGTTTGAGGCCCATAAAATCTGACTCTGATCAGTAGATTATTTTCAGCAATGTGATGACAAACCCACCTTGTTAAATTTAGAGAAATTTGATAGATTTATAATGATGAAAAATTAGAGAAATAAGGAAACATAAATATTTGTTAAACAAATAAATTTAGTTCAACGGTTGTAAATTAATGGCCCAGGGTAAAGGTGAAACACTTCAGAAATCTATCTGCGTATGGCATGCATCTTCCCATCTTCCAATTCGGCAGAGTCCCCACCATTCCCTATTGTAATGTACATTTTTCACCTCCTCAGCATTGTAGGTATGTGAGCCTGTTATCACTGAGATTTGACTCTAATTCCTTTTTCTTTAATTGATGAGGACATCAAGACCCAGAGAGTTAGAGGCAGAGATGCTTGTTCTTTAGGGTGCCTTTATCATGATGTGTTCCTTCCTCTGGTAAATAAATATCTGTATTATTTCTACTAGTCCTCCAAGGTTTTTAGTTCTGTTCTAAGAACTGAGTCATTTTCTGCCTAGAAATTCTGACAGCACCATTCTCTCCCTTGCATTGGCTTTGGAATGGCATTGTTCCTTTGTAGACTGAGCCCCTGGTAAATGTTCTGGACGCAAAAGAACTTTTCCATCTGGGTCCTTCTGACCTTTTCCGCATTTATCAAGTTCCACCAGGTTGTAAGAAAGGTAATAGTGCCTTTTCTCTCTTCTGCTCTCACAATTCACCACCTGATCCTCAATTCAAGTCTATTACCTTTGAAAGGATCACAAAGAATTGTTTTCCTTTTGTCAAATCTCAGTGGAAGCAAATAATCTTATTCAAGCTTTGGCCTGAGTCTTAACTGGCTTCATTTCTAGTATCACCTGTTAAATACCCATCTTGGCAACTAAGTGACTGGCAATTTGTCAAGAGTTCAGTTTTTTTGTTAATTAGACAGTCTTTACCTTAATACTCTTCGCTACTTAAAATTGAAGAGTATCAATAGAGATGAGGCTTCCTTAAAGGCCTTAAGACATGTGTCCATCAAACCTAAGGGCTATACTCTTAAGGCAGCTTTCAGAGAAAGGCAGGAAATTTGAGTTTCTGATCTCACAACATCCCTTTTATGAGCGCCTCTATTATTTGATCAAAAAACAAATGATGTTGTTGCACAAATGAATGAATAATTGGGTGAGTGAATAAGCACATAAATGATGCATGAACGAATACACAAAAGAAAACAGCAAACAAAGTAGAATAGACTATAATTAATCAGTTGAGCTGTTGAAAATATTAATTCTATACTTCTACTGTTCAGAGAAGAAAGGAGCTAAGCATTGTTTAAGGTAGTCCAAGACTTTTATTGCAGAAAGAAAACTCAGAATTCAATTCATTATCTTCCTTGTACCATGATGTCGCTTGTAATTTTCACAGGCTCTAAATTGAAGTCACCCAGGCAAGGGAAGAGACAAGGAAAGAACTCAGGTCTCTGACTCCCAGGCCAATGGGCCCTCCACCTCCCTCAGGCCTCTCCTCAGCTGGAAAGTTGTAAGGGAATTTTGGAATCTAGCAGTGCAGGTGTTCCATTAGTTCCCTTACAGCTCTGTTTTTGAGGTAGTTATTTCTACTTGTTTCCTAATGCAGATGCCAACGTATGAGTGATAATGCACCATTTAAACAAAAATTTTGCATGACACTATACTCTCAAAGAACAGTCAATAAATATATACTTCTTGTGTGTGTGTGAGGAAGATAGGCCCTGAGCTAACATCCGATGCCAATCCTCTTCTTTTTGCTGAGGAAGATTGGCCCTGGGCTAACATCTGTGCCCGTCTTCCTCTACTTTATATGGGACGGTGCCACAGCATGGCTTGACAAGCAGTGCAGGGGTGCACGCCCGGGATCTGAACCGGTGAACCCCGGGCCGCAGCAGCAGAGCGTGTGCACTTAACCGCTTGCGCCACCAGGCTGGCCCCCAATAAATATATCATTTTTCTAAAGCACATATAAATGGGAGAAAAATGATTATCTATCAAGCCAGTTTGGCACCAAGAAGAAACGTTTGCGTTATGCCTAATTGTCAATAGCCTGGAGTCATTCAAAAACCTGAAATCTTGACCTAAAAACTATGTTCTCCTTCAAGGAAAAAAGATTGTTGAAACCTAAGGACAGATGGCAATGAGCAAATAAAACTGATGTGACTTGGGCCGTGAGTGTTTCTGAGACTGAGGGATAGAGTTAAGCAGGGGAAAGTGATCGGCCATTTGACAGATCGGAAAGGAAATTTAAAATTATTGAGGTCATCTGGTTCACTGACTGCTGTGGGCAAATCCTCTCCACCACCCAGCAACTCCAAAAAGGCCCCTGTGCACTCAGAGGCCTTCGATCTGGCCTAGACGAACTCCCCGGTACCTTTATGAGGACTGACAGCTTGACAGACAGATGGCTCACGTATTGACAGCACAGACACCAAACCCTGCTGCCTCACTGGTCATCCGTCAGCACTTTTAGAAAGGATGCAGAATGTCTCTTACAGGAAACAAAGGAAAGAAAAGAGGGAGGAATACTTCTTCCTAAAACCACGGTCACAGAATTTGCTCTGGTTTGAGCCCTGCCCTTCCTTCCCTTTAATGCAAGTTGGATTTGGGCTCTCCTCCTAGGATGACCTTGACCTAGGGCTGTTTTACAGTCTGCAGACCAGTATGGGCTTCTCATCATCCAACCAGTCATCCTGTGGGTGGCTCAGGCCTTGACCTCTTCCCACCTTCTCCTAGCTGACCCAGGCATGCACCAGAAGCATGAGCTTCACCAAGAACTTATGGCCCACATTATTGAACTGTGTTCTTCCAGCCTGTGACTCCTAACTCACTTCCCTGAGCAAGGAACCCTCAAGATCCCAAGAAGCAGTCTGTATCTGACTTGTTTCATTATACCCAGGGGCTAGAAGACTGTAAACACAGACCAAGCACTCAAATATTTTTTGCATGAATGAATGAATTAAAATTCCTGCAACATTCAACTCTAAACCACTCTAGGAATCTTAAATTCACCATCTCAATCTACCCAGAGCTGGATGGAATATCATCCCTCTGAACTCTCACTTGGTCTATAGTTTATATGGTAGTTGTCATTATCATTTATCACAGCTAATTATTTTTAACTTAGTAGTGAGCTCTTTAGAGCAGACTGTGCTTGTTTCATCTTTATATCACTCATTCCACACGTTGTTTGAATGCTAAATGTTCTAAGAGTTTGAGAATAAAGAGATAAATTAGGTTCATGCTGTTTTCTCCAGCAAGGATGTTGGTTGGAGGTGGTGGTGGGAGAGGATGTGTGCCCGAGTTGAAGGGTGAAGGGAGTGGGTAGAAGTGGATGAGAAGTAGATAATCATTATTATTATATTAATAATATTAATAATTATTAATATAATAAGAATATCATGTTTGAGTGCTTACTGTATTTAACAGATGCCTTACTAAATGCTTTACAAGGATTATCTCAAACCCAATGAAATAGGCATTATTATGCCCATTTTACAGATGAAGAAACCAACTCAGACTCAGAATAGTTACATTACCAGCAAAGCAAAAAAATCAGGGGGACCTTTCTGATTCTAGAACCATTTATTTCTCTCTCAGTCTCTCCTTCTCTCTCTCTCTCTCTCTCTCTCTCTGTCTCACACACATACATTTCTGGCTGAATTTATATAGTGACAATAACTTCTATATTACTTAAAAAACAGTCTCACATGTATAACTATTTTATTGAATGAACTGGACTTGATAAAGCACAAGCAAAAGAGTAAATTTATTCTTTCTTCCATAGGCCCTACAGAATCACTCTGGATTAGTCTTCTCCATCCCTGGGATAAAATTTCAGGAAGCCTTAAAGCTGTCCATGTTCCTTTTAATCACAAAAGCAGTCTCAATTCAGTAATTGAGTCCAAATACATCCAGTATGCTGTAATCATCAAAATGCTAAACTTCATTCAACTTGTGGATTCTCCTGAAGCCGGAGTCTGAGCTCCTGTAGGCTTGCAGCCCAAAGTGCTACAGCAGGTGTGCACGGCTTCTTCTCTATTCCCCACCCTGCTCTTCTCTTCCTGCCCAACGCCCTGCCCAGGATGAGAGGGAATGAGAAGGAAAAGACACCATTTTTCATAGGAGGTACAAATTCCATATGTGCAGCTGCTTACAGACCCTTAGAAACTTCATAGTTGTCCCTTCCATTGCTCAACCTGAGTCTCATAGGACAAAAAAGGAGAGCCACAGAACCCAAACTAACTTTTGCATTCAAAATCCATCAACATGGGCAGTGAACGGATATAGCAGCGGCAAGATGGCTTCCTCTAATTCTCTTTTTGAAGAGGAAGACCTGGGATTTGGGCTTGACAGCTTTCTTTGATCTCCTTTTTTTTTCCTGTTTCAAGATATATTTTATCAACAGATAAGAACAGCAACGACAAGAAGATCAGATGTTTCATCTGCATATCTGAAACTATGTTCAACGTGATTTTATCTCTACCCTCCTCCCCCAAAAAACGAGCCCTAGCACTTTCTCTTTTCTTCAGAGGCAGTAACAAGCTTCAATGGGTTCCTGGTACTGGATTCAACTTCCGGTAAAGAATATAAACCTTCCGCCAGAAGACTTTAATTCTCTCTTACTGCTTTAGATCAGCGCCTGTGTCAGCCGGGTACTATTACGAGAGACGTTATTACATCTTATCCAACTGTTGGCAAGTTCTGAATCTTAAAGAGAGCTGTTTTGTAGTACAAAGATTAGAGTACTCCATAGAATACTAAAAAAGGAAAGAGAAAAAACCAAGTCATCAAGAAAAGTTCTTAAAAACCCTCTTTGCATGTGCTTATTTGAAGAGCTGGTATTATGCGCTTGGAATTTACTTTAATTATTAACATTGAAAGAAAACATTCCTTCTAAGCATAGAAACTTCAAAGAGTAAATAGTCATCAGGGTTCAGGTATCTTTTTCTTAAAGTGCTGTCATAAAAGCAGTTGCAGCAACGCAGCTGTTTGGAGATCTGGTTACTGTTGTTGTTGTTTGTTTTGTTTTGTTTTTTTTACTCAGTGATGGCAAAGTGTTTTATAAGGGGGAAAAAAATCATTAAAGCTTCCACCTAGTTAGGGCAAACTGAGACACAAACTATAACTTGGCCCAAGAGCATTCTGCCAATCCTCAGAGAATGCCCTTCTCTCCACACGCATCAACGATGGAGGAGGTGGCTTCCAAGGGGAGAGTAAAAGAAGGGATGTCTATGTGGCAGCTTGCTAAATGATGAATATCTGAGACATGCCAAGGATACCAATGCCAGGAGGAGAGAGATTGATTAGAGAGACTGAAAGGGGAGAGGATGCAAAGAGCTGGTGGAAACTGCCCAGAATCTGGCTGGATGTATACATATGACCTTGGATGTCCTGTAAATGGCATGTGGTTCCCCAAAGCAGTCTCCACCATTGGTGTGATTTAAACCTAAGCTCAAGGACACACCAGCCCTCCTTCCCCAGAGACAAGAGAATAACCCGTTTGTTATTTGCTGTTTTCGCTTCTTCCTATCTGCAGTACTGGGCAGCTGAAGTTAGACATTCTGGCATGAAACAATGGCTCCGAAGTCAGAGAAGAAGCAGTTTCAGATAACACTAACCTCTTGAAAAAAGGCATCATAATTCCTTAAGTTTTAGGGTCATTATTTTCCCATCTAGCTCATATTTGGCCAGGTTTCCTTAAACTCCTTAAACATCCATTTTCACCTAGACTGCCCTTCACCTTGTTACCCTTAGCTGAAAAGTTTCTTTTCAACTGTAGTCTCATAACCTCATCTCTGCCAATTAGATTCTATCTGTATCTCCAAGAGTAACCTGCATAGGAGAATATAACATTTATGCTCATATATCCCTGAGGTTGCCAAGAGACCTGTCGCTAGAAATCCTGGAAGTCACCTGTTTGGTTCAGTTGGGAGACAATACACACTCACATGCACACACATACACACGCACACACAGTACACATTCAACACTGGTACTTTTCCATGATTGGATTATTGATGGCTTATTTTGAAAGTGGCAGAAGAATGGAGAAGAAACATGAGACATGGATAACACTGAACATTTGCTCACTAATTAACAAAAATTTATTGAGTTTCTAAACTCAAAATACTCACTTATACAGCCTTGTTCCTTAATGAACTTGATTTTACAGAGTTCAGTCTATCTAATGAAATCAAGCCTCATAGATTGATAATCTCAGCTAAGCAAACCCTGTACCCTCTCTTGAGCATTTTGCCTTCATTTTTAAATAAATCCAGAATCCTAGGCTCAGCTCTCCTTCCACTATCACACACTCAGCTTAATTTCAGCGTTCTCATTCTTAATAAGTTCCATTTAATTGGTGTCATCATTGCTACTGTCATTGTCATCAATAAATATTTATGGAGCAACCATTGGGTATCTTGTATTAACCCAGAACTCTTAAAGAGTTTATAACCCAGAGGATTGCAGTCCCTGCTGTCTAGAAACTTAAAGAGATAGATGCTGAACAGATTAGCTAATTAATGGCAGAAAATTGTTAAGAAGCTATGGAGCTGACCAAACCTGAAAAAAACATTCTCACGTATAATCAGTTATTTTGGATTTATGGAAAATATACTCTTTTCCCCTTTAATAACAAGCAGGGAAATAGCTATTTTCTGTTTCGCCCACAGGGATCTCTGCATAGAAATAAATCAAACAAAACTAAACTTTCAAACTTCATGCTTTCCCAAGGGAATCATCTTTTATTAGAAATAGTCACTTCAAAGGTTTGAATAAATGTGGGCTTTTTTTAAACACTAGAAGCAATTTACATTTTTGTGTGTACATTCACTAAATGATTCTGATCAGATCCAGAGAATTTATCCTGCCAGGAGTGCTATGCAAGTGTGAAACTTCATAGCACAGTGATATCAACCAATTAGTGATAGAAATTGGCTGGGTTTTCAAGCCCCCCAAATAAACTTAAACTTTGCATCAGATGAATTTCTGACCCAAACTCAAGAAATAATAGTAAGAGTTTGTGTTTATGTGAAACCTCTCCTCCAGCAATATCAAGGTCTTTTAAAGACATACTGGTCTCTGACAAATGTCATATACAGCAATAATAACCTGACATTTTCTTTAGCATCTTACCAAAGTTTATAAAATGCTTTCTCACCCAATATTTTACTTAGGTCCTCTTTAATCAGTTCTATGAGTTTGATCTTGTTATTCTTCTCATTTTATGGTCAGAAAACTAAAGATCAATCTCAACAAGGGTTGCACAGCTAAAACATAGAAGACAAGATCTGGAAGCTAGATTTTATTTTAATATATTGGAGTCTATCCTAAGCTGTTTTGGCCTGAAATTTTCAGATGGTTTTATATCAAACAGTATGAAGAGAGTAATGGTGATGGTAAAAGGAACCTAAATTATCCAGAATGACAGTGTATGCATTGCAAATATTCTAGATTAATAGTGACCTTTTTACATCCCTTGATGCTAAGCTGAACTACATCAATAAAAGACTTAAATCAAATTGCTAACTAGTCCTGTCTTCCTAACCATTAAAACCATGCAACATTAAAAAACTAGCAAAGACCTGACACCTAAACAATATCCAGGGCTGATAATCGTGGGTATGCGTTGGTACAGCTAGGGTAATTGTTAATGACTAGAATCCTTTCTGATCAACGAGCACCTGCAATTAGATATTAAATGCTTTCTATAAACCTGACTCTAAGCTAGGCAGTTTCTGATACTGTAGCTCATGGAACCCTTACAGCACCACTCTACAATAAGCATCAGCCTAATTGTTTTCTTTTCTTTTTTTTTTTTTGATACATCTTAAAGAAATTGCAAAAGTTGTGACAGTGATGTTTTGTAATTTACACAGGCTGTAGCTATAGGGACATACACTAGGAAAAGCAGAAGCCAGCTATATTTAGATGGAAGGGAGTGGTAGCAGGTATTGCATACTAGGGGCAATTATAATCTATTGTATAACGATTGTAAGAGAGATTTTTTTTTAATCTGCTTATCTTCCATTTAGGCTTTATTTGCTTTTGACAAGACCTCTCTCTTAGCATAGTCTTGCCTAATAAACAGCAGAATGCCAATGAAGCACAGATAGCTCTCAGTCCCAGAAATCCTTAGGAAATCATCAATTCCCCCACAGGGACTGGAGTCATTGATTCCCTCCTGGGAACTGCCTTTAGAAAGAATGATCTCAGAGGAATTTAGAAGAAGCATTAGCTCTGTCAGTAAGCCCAGAGGGAAAAAGTAGAGACAAATTCTACTCTCAATTCAATTCAATTCAGCAAGTATTTATTGAGGCTGATACAGTCCTCCAGATATGAAAGTAGAAGAAGACCGTCTTTGTCCTCAAGGAGTTTGCCATCTTAGGGTGAGGGGAAGCGAAGCTGACACTCAACCTGGACAAGGTACTCAACCTCTTTGAGCCTGTTTCCTACAGGGTGGACCCACATTACACCCAAAACAAGCTTTCTGCTCCCACCTGGTCCACTGGACCTGTTCCTTACACTTACGCACCCTGTTCTTTGAGCCTTTGCCCGTGTTGGCACATATCTGAGTGTTTGGGATATATCTCAACAGGGTCCACTGATGTTTTCCAGCTGTTCTCTGCTGACGTCTTTGCTCTACTCTGTTTGGAATAGTTTGTCATCTCCCCTTTGTTTGCTATGAACTCTTGCTTAGCATCACAAACACAGATAACCATAGCACGGTGGTTGCTGAACACCAGACTGATCTTCCTAATACCTCACTGCCTTCTTTCTCTCTCTTTTTTGTTTTTCTTGGAAAGGGCAGAGGATCTAGATTTGCTCTTTTCTTTGTAGTCATTTTAACTCTGGTTTGTATTGTGCCTACACATGAATCAAATTTCCTAATAAATAAAGCTAATAAAGAACAAGGTTCAAGATTAGTGGTTACCAGAGGGAAAGGGGGTTGGGGGGTGGGCAAAAGGGGTAAAGGGGCACATATATATGGTTACAGATAAAAATTGGACTATTGGTGGTGAACAAGATGCAGTCTAATTTCACAATGTTATAAACCATTATGGCCTCAATAAAATAATAATAAAAAAAAAGAGTGAAGTTCAGTAGAACAAAGAGGGCCTGTCAGGCTGGACAGTGACTGGGAGAAAGGGCTTAGGACCAATTAAGAAGGTTGATTTTGAAGAGGGAAAAAATGACAGCTTACTTTCTACCGATGAGTGTGAGATATGTGTGCAGGTCAGAAAATACTCGTTGGATTTGTTTTATTTTTCTGAATTAGAAAATACCGGTTAGATATATGTCAACTTCACACACACACACACTCCCACACACTCACATACACAAAATACAAATTACATCAGCCAGAAGTAGGCTTGCCTCCAAGTATTATGGGGCCCTATGCAAGAGGAGACCCACATACATGCCTAAATATTTAAAAGCTTTAAACCATATAATAAACTATTAAGTAAAATCTGTTCTATTCTCCTACCTTAACAAATGTAATTGATAATGACCTAAAGATCAGATTCAAATTTAGAATTGTGGGACTCTTCTGAGTTCTGTGATGCAAGCTGGCAGCAAAGAGAGAACCAGTGCTTGGTCTGGATCCCTTCTCTTCCCACCTCTGGCTCTGACCCACAACACAAAGATCATCATACATAAATCTGTTGGCCCCCAGTCCACACACCCAAGCATCATCCCTACTACTGCCAACAACTTCCCTTGGTCCCCCGCAGGCCTAGCAGTGTACACATCAGTGGCATAGTACATCCTCAGAAGGACAGACCAGGAAAGAGGCCCTTTCAGATGCAGTATGTGAGCTAAGAGCCATTTGGGTGGAGAATTCTGGGATCCTGGGTACCCAGAGAATGATCTAGAAGAGGGATGAAAGCTCCAAGTATACACAGTCCCTAGGCCCCACAGACTTCTTGCCCCACCGGGAGAGGTAGGACTCTCTACTTCCTCAAAAAGTGGTCCATGGATTAGCATCATCCACATCACCTGGGAAATTCAAGTTGCATTTTCATGAGATTCCCCAGATGATTTGAATGCACAGTGATAGAGTCCAAAAGAGGTCTATCTTGCCTGGGTCTAAGGTCAGTACTGGCCATAAGCAGCGTGTATCCCTCTGTCCTTCTCCTACCACCCCAAAGATATACATGGAGTACAAAATCAATGACCCAGGATTCTTCCCTTGTTGCCTGGCCACCCCCTGATACTGATTGATGGGTAATGATAAATCGGATTTCAGCTGTGAGTCATTCAGCCACAAATGAGGCTACTCAGTTATTTCAAGTCCATTTTCCTGGCCCTTGAATAGATGTGGGAGAGCCTCACAGATTATCACAGGAAGAGCAACTTCAATACCAAAGAACGTGCCTTCCTTTGTGACCCCAATGCAAAGCAGGTCAAGAAACTCAAAGGCAATCAGTGTTTTAAATTGGGAATCAGCTCCCAGATACCCCATAACGGTTTGCAAGTGCAGGCCTATCTCTTCCCTGGTTAATTCTTTTCAGTAGGTGCAGGTAGAGAGAGGCCTATTTTATTCCAAAATATCCTGGAGTCATAGCCCCTGGACTCCAGTTACCAAAAACATTACAACATTGATCAGGGCTATGATTCTGAGCTAAAGAGTGTCTATTATTGGAGGACCCTGCTGCTAGGCAACATTAAGAGTGCTACAGGGACTTTAGAAGGATATTAAGAGGCCCTAAGATATGAAATGGTTCCCCTGACTGTCATGACTTCAATACATAGATCCCTAAATGAAGAAAGGTAGAGAGAAGTACAAACACACTGTAAGAAAATGAAGACACTGACTTCAAAGATTTCATATTTGAGATAGGTTTCTTCCAACCTATTGAGTACTTGATGCTGAAGTTTTCAGAAGGATCAAAAAGAATTGACCTCAGGTCTTAGAAAATTATCTTCTTCTACCACAGATACCTGTTCTGATCTAGGTAAGGCAGAAAGGCTATTTTTGACATTTCTGCGTTTTTATCTTTTATAAGAACTTTATTTATATATGTTCTCAAAAGTATAGGATTTGTCATCTGCATTTTCCAATTCATAACCAAATAGAGACATTTGGAAGACTGAGTTTTTGTTTTGATATTTAGAGTAGAAAGATATGTTCCAGAAAGCCCATTTTTAGGAAAATGACTCATTATTTGATTAGAGTCATTACTAATAGAACAAGTTGACATAACTCAAAGTGGACAGCAGGGAATTATCAAGATAATTTATAATTCAACCCAAATGTGCACCAGAATGCTTGCCTTGAAATCTCAATCCACTACATCAGTGGTTCTCAAAGTATAGACCCCAGACCAGCAGTAATGTTACTCAGAAACTTGTCAGAAATGCAAATTATCTGACCCCCCTTCACACAGGATCAAAATCTCCGGGGGCAGGGCCCCGCAGTCTATGTTTCAACAAGATGATTCTGATGCACAATAAATTTGAGAACCACTGCACTAGATCACTGGTTCTCAATCCTGGCTGCAAGACTCGCAGTAGACTAATTACGACCCAATCCACTGGGGCGGAGCCCAGGCTTCTCAGTGGTTTTTCAGGCTCCGCAGGAGGTTCTAACGTGCAGCCAGGGGCTGAGAACCCCAACGCTGGATAGTCTTAGTTTTATAGATCTTGCTCTCGTGTACTTCTAAGCAAACTTTCATCCAAGAATCGGCAAGCCATTTACAAACAGAGGCATGTCGTCAAAGACCTATGCCACCGAGGTATGGTCACAAAGTCAACCTGAGTTTTAGACATACCTAGCTCAATAACGCCCATATTCCAAGCTACCGAGCATCATTTGCACAGCTATAATTATTTCAACCACAGTTAAAAATGAGAAGGGAATTAAATTAGCTTGCAATCTTTTTACGTGTTCCTAGAGAACATGTCACCTGTCACTCAGAATGAGATGTGCGTCTTCCTCTCTCAGGATGTGGTATAATGAGGTCTCTTTCTGAGCTCTGAATGCAGAAATGTATTTATGGCACAAAGGGAGATTTATGTATTTTCAAAAAATCCTGGCAGCCAATAATAGCCTTGACTGACTCTCTACGGCTCCAAATAAACTAGATTGTATTTGGATATAAATCTGGATGCATTGTAATCTTAGCCCTGTTTCCCTCCACCAAAGGCCAGATGGGGCAAAAGGGGTTTGAAAGGGAAAAGTAATGAAATTATTGATAAAATGCATAAAAAGAAAATACTACGCCAGAGAAGGCCATTTTGGTATAATCTGTGAGAAAATTCTCAGAGATACCATGTATAAGTTCCATTTTGATGACTATGCTAATGGATTCTGGAATAACAAGAATTCTATACAATCACGGCTTGGTGGGTAACATTTTGTTTTCCTTAATGTCTTAGAAAGTTGTAAGGAAAATATATTCAGTAAAGGATTTGTCCCAGGGTTAGGAAGAGACTCCAAAACTGTTTTGCATCTGCCATCTGATATTTCCTCTCTCCTCGATCATTTCATCATTCAAGAAAGTATTAATAAGAGAATGAAAAGTTGGGAAAGGATGGGGCTGGGCCCACGGCATAGCAATTAAGTGGCATGTGCTCCTCTGCTGGCGGCCCGGGTTTGGATCCCGGGCGCGCACCGAAGCACCGCTTGTTAGGCCATGCTGTGGTGGCATCCTATATAAAGTGGAGGAGGACTGGCACGGATGTTAGCCCAGGGCCAGTCTTCCTCAGCAAAAAGAGGAGGATCAGCATGGATGTTGGCTCAGGGCTGATCTTCCTCACAAAAAAAAAAAAGTTGGGAAAGGAGCTGACATACTTCATGCCCCAGTCTGTAATAGGTAGGATGACCCTAGGTCTTAAAAAGGCTAGGGGTGAGGCAGGAGGTAAATAGTTTTAGAATCACTCTGGCTCTGAGGTGTGGCGTGAATTCCAACAGTTACATATAGGACTCAACAAGACCTTAGATAGAGTTGCCGCAGGCAGTCTACGGTAATGCGCTCAGTAAGCAGCACAATCGCTTTAGGAACTCAAGGGTGGACGGCTTGAGCTGTTTCCTAAACGGCACCAGAGACTCCTGGTTCCATGAAGCCTAGTCCCTACTCCAGGCCCAAGCATCGTTGGAAATAATCTGTTTTTAAAACTGAGTATCTTTCTGCACTGTTGAATCCTGAAAAGTTGTATTCATCACCCATCAGTTGGAACCAGCTATAGATGCGTGACCACACACAGGAGGGTACCAGCAGGGGCCCAAATCTGTAGAAGCTGGGTGACAGGCACCCAAAGGCCATTGTAAGTGCCCTGGGAGACGGTGACAGGTCAGCACTGTCAAAAATTCCTGTCCTTCTGGATGGTGACCTACATTAGTTTTGGCTACTGCCATTTGGGGACTTGATAAAAAACAGTTTTTTTAAAAAGTATCTATTCTATAGAGCAGAACCAAGAGTAGCAGAAATGCCCTAAAGACATTTCTTCCAACTAAATTACATGCATTTATTTTTCACCATGGGGGTCAGAATTGAAAAGCTAACAGGATCCAGAGGGACAGTGCATGCTAATTCCACTCATGGTAAAGGTCCTTTAAAATGCCACTCATGCCTGAAGCACTGATGAGTTTGCAAGTTGCCAGTTTCGAGGTATGCTGTGCATGTTCCCATTGGAACCCATTAGATGGCCTATAGATAGATGGGCTCTGCACAACCACACATGCATACACGCCATTCAAAAGTTTAAAAAGATTACTAAGCAATTACACAGACTTTTCAGCTCTCACAACAAGGCTAATGGCAGCCCATTTGCAATATAGTACAGTAGATTAGTGTGGCACAAAGAGAGCTAAACTGTTTAGCACAGGGCTCAAAGCTCCTGTAGAAATTACACTCAATTGCAATTCCTAGAAATTGATTGGGAGGGGTTGTGTTTTGTGTCGCGCACACTGGGTACCCACTCCCCCATGTGGATGCACCATACTCAACCAACCTGCATACACCTAAAACTACAGAGATGCTCTCCTAACCAGCTAAGGGAATATACAGACTCCTAAACACCATCTTCAGGTACTCATAAGGAAGCATAGACAGTTATGGCTGAAAGCATGCCATTTCTCACCTCTTATTTTACAGATAAGGAAACTAAGACTTCCGAATTTATACATAAATATATACACACACATGTATGTGCACATATGTAAAAATGTGCATGCACACACACACACGAGGGTGACCAACTGTCTCAGTTTGCCCAGGACTATCTTGGTTTTAGCACTCAAAGTCTCACGTCCTGGGAAATTCTCAGACTTGGGCAAACCAGGACACTTGGTCACTCCAACACACAGACTCCCTGTAATAAACCCTATCTAATGTAAAAAAGCTAAAAAAGCTGAGTACTGTTAGAACTTCTTCCAAGGAAGTGTCATACCAAAAAAATTCTCTTCGTGGGAAAACTAGTCCAGTTACCCAGGTTAGATTCCTCTTGTAGCCAAAAGCAGAAAGTGTATACACTATCTGGATTTCTACCTATTCTCGCGTAAATCAGAGCATCATAGCACTTATCACAGTTGTAATTAATGATCTATTGCTTGTTTAATATCTGTCACTTGCTGCTGTAAGCTTCAGGAGGTCAAGGTGTGATCACGGGTTTGTTCACACCTTGCTTTCGTGCCCAATGCCTGGAACAGTGCCTGATCCATGATAGGCGTTCTATAAATATTTGTTGAATTGAATGAACAAAATTAAGAAAAAAAAATCTATGGACGTCATGGCACGGTGCTGGGAGTGCTTAAACCGAGCTACTTCGGTAAAGCATTCCTTCTCTCTACAACTAGGAAACCCAGGGAACTTGTAGTTGCTCCTCCACAGGCAAAAACTGCCCCCACCCCATCCTGCAACACCAACCTCCAATTTTTGATTACCATGAATAACACTATTACATCTAATAGTAATAATAATAGCTATAGTGAGAAAGTTGAATGCCTTCTACATGTCACTAAAGTATAAAGGAGAAGTTTCATCCTATCTCAGGGCAAAGCCACCATCCTCATAGCACAGGATATTTGGGGAAGGCCTGTCACTCTCCACTGTGCCATCAGTCAAGGGAAGGACTGGCTGGACCCATTTTGAGGAGGTTAAGTCTATCACTACTCTGCTATAAAATGCATGGTGTGCAAGCCCAGGCCTGCGCCTGACTGGGGAGGCTGAGCTCTTCTCAGAGGAGGCATCTGCCATGACCAGCATCTCCAAAGCCTGTACAATGCCCAGCACTGGTAGGAGTTCAAGATATCTTTGTTGGTGGAGAGCGGGAGGGAATCAGAAAAGATAAGGATTGAAGGAAGAAAATAAATGAGTGATGACAGAGACAACATCTTCCTTACTTTGTCTCCAGTCCTGTCACAGGAGGTAGAACATAGAAAATATGCAATGTTACAAAGGGAGAATATTGAAGGAGATTTCCATTCTAAACTCAACCACACCTTCCTGAAATCTGAAGGGAAGAACCCAAAATGATGAATGCTGTGTTTCTTCACATAAATGAAGGAAAATTACCTGGCCGTCAGTTCAGCAAATCAACTGAAGTCTCCCAGTATGATACAAGTTCTACATTTGACTCAGCTTGTTCCCTCCATCCCTTCTACAAGAAAGCTCGGCATCCAGCAGCAGCCGGTCCACTCTGTTTCTCTCCTCATCTGTTTAATTTCCTCCTGCAAGACCAGCTGCAGCTCAATTGAGGACTACATAATTCAATAGATTCACAGATATGTCTTGAGTCAATTTTAATTCTATTTAAAGGACAGTCGATAGAGTCATCTCTGGGGCTTTCTGAGATGAATTTCATGTTCCATACACTGAACAAAGTGGAAGGGGAAAACATACTTCTCTTTAAAGATATAAGGACTTAGGTTTCTATAGTGTTCAATGTCTGTCACACCTCTCCATCGCAGTGAGAATTGGGCTCGAGCTTGGAGAATATTTAGGAAATCTGAATGGCAAAGGAGGCCTGCAGGTATACATAGAAAGCTTTAGACTGACCATTGTCTTTTGCATTTGTCAGAATGGAACTGGTAGTCACAATCTTTCTCAAGGATTTCTCACCCTTATGCCTTTCCCTGAATTCGTGCTATTCCCTCTGCCCAGGATGCTGTGCTTTGCCTTTCCGTATGTTCTCATCCCTCCACGCTTCATGATCCAGCTCAAATGCCATGCCACCATGAAGCTTTCTCTTATCCTCTTCCCTCCTCCTCATGCCCACACCCACCCACATTGGAAGAAACGTCCCACCAGCACTGCCACTCTTGGGCACTTATCATGTTTTATCTCATATTTTTGCTATTAAATGTACTTGTTTTATTTTCCCAGCTCATCTGCAAGCTCCTTGAGGGCAAGCTTTATATGTCTGATTTATTTTGGTATCCTCCTGTATTAGTCAGGATTTTTTGCTATTAGTTTCCTGTTCTAATGATGTATAACAAATATGCCCAAAGTTTCACTGGCTTACAATAAACGTTGATTTTCCTCCCCTGTGAGTCTGACCGTCAGCTGGGGCAACTCTTCTGGGGGCTGAGTTCATGTCTGTTCCACAGGTCTCTCAATTTGGGGCCCAGGCTAAAGAAGCAGTAGCTACCTGGGGCAAGGTATTCCTTTGGTGAAGAGCAGGGGAGCAAGAGGTCAGACTAAGCCATGCAGGTACATTTAAAGATTCTGCTCATGTCACATTCACTCCCAAGCCATTGGTCAAAGCATGTCACATGGCCAAACCCAAAGTCAGTAGAGAGGGGATGTATATTCTGCACTGAAAAGTGACATGGGTGCGTAATTCTATCCCATTTACCCCAGCCCCACAGCCTGCCAGCTTCTCATGACTCTTGACTGAGTATCTAGGAAGTCCAGTGGATGGCACACCTATTCCCAGGAAGCTTAAGCATGCTGTCCACTGCCTGTGCTTGGCCCAGCACGATTCTGGAAGTTTGAGAGTTCAACACACAAGCAAGTAGGGTCAAGAAAGTGACTTTTTGTGTGAAACAGTCTAGCTCTTGGTGACCTCCTAGCCCAGTGTGTATACACAAACGAGTAAAAGAGGTGGGAGGAGAAAGCAGACAGCCATTACTGAATGATGGTTGAGAAGTTGGGGGGGAAAGTAATCCATATCACGTCACTGGTAATAGCGAGAGTGTTACCACTGGCCTTTATTACTGGAGTTCTGAAGATGAAAACAAGATCTTTGCTGCTTAAGATTTTCATCCTCTCCTGCTGCTTTCTCCCACCTGAAGCGCTAATCCTCTGCTGGCCGCGTCATAACCGCCTCTGTGGCAAGACTCACTGCAGTGTCCAAATACCCAATTGTGGCTTCAGGTGGTGGATGACCAGCAGGTGTGTCTGAAACAGACAAACAGCTCTAATCCTGATTTTTCTGGGACTATAAAAAATAGAAAGAGGGAAAGGAAAACAGATTCTCTCGGGAAGAGCCTCTTGCATATACTTGACTTAGCCAGGTTCAACGTGTTCTCCCTACATTAATTCATGAATATCAGAGAATAAGTAGAATGGAAAGAAGGCTTTCACACACCTGCTTTTCCCCAAAGGATAAAAAAGAGGGGGCCAGAAGAGGCCATTTTTGGTAGGTCACAGGGATTCGGTGGTTAGGCAAGGTCTACCACGCCCAGATGCTGGCTCCCAAAGGCCCTGTGTTTGTCCCCAGACCTCACTCTGGAAAGTGCACTTATCCTGCTATTGGATTTCATTTCAGTCAGTGTTCAAGTAGGTTTTTAATTGTACAATAAAGTCCATTTGTTTGATCCACGATCCCAGCTTTCTAAATTGTGTTTTCTCCCTTACACTCTAATCCACACTGCTCACTACTCAGTAATTAGTCAGGTCGATCCCAGCCCTTAGTGCAAATTAATGAGGTTCTACCAGAATGGGCTTCTGAGGTTTTGATGAGACATGAGAATGGTTCTCTCTCCCCTCCACCACTCTCACGATATGGGATCAATTTCTTTAACTCAAATTGCATTTTCAATAGCCCTCTCTTCCCAGAATCAGCATGTCTGCTGTAACTTATACTTGAGAAAGGGAGTCAGTGACGGGATGGTGTGGCTGCAGATGAGCCGGGAAGAAATAGAAGTGTTTCCTTGTAATGCTAACTTGAATAAGCACAGTGACATTTTGAGCAAAGACAACAAAGTCAGTAGTAGCCACAGTCCTCCTCAGCCAGGAACAATTATCCAGGGAACGTGTTCCTCAGGCTTTCTGTAAGTTCTCCTGATGTGATGTTACTGGAATAATTTATATATATCAAAGTGGAGCCTAGCCCAAGTGGATATTTAAGCAGTATACCATGTTCCCTTGTCAGATGGTTTCTTTTTAACTGCATAGAAAGCCCAAGTGAACATTTACTTCCCTATTATGGATTAGAAATGAACTTAGACGGCACTAATAATAGCATCACTTTAAAACATAAAGTCGAGAGAGCATATTCTCCAGTGTCACCAGTATGGCATATTTGTCTTCTGCTTAATTTGCCCTCACCATGTATTATTAGGAGTTAACACTGTAGTTTTGTTTAATAACTGGCTTCACCACCCATGGCTGACTCCAAACTGATCACTCAGGCCTGCTGATGAAAGTCCTAATTCATCCTTGTTAGGGCAATTAAAGGGAAATTGGATAACCGTGCCACTTCTTGCAGAGGTCTACGTGCAGCTATAGCCTATCCCCCAAGAGGTTAAACAAATGCTCACTTTGGCTGCAAGTGAAATAGATACTTTCCTTGTAAGTAAGATAGAACCAAATTAATTTAGACTTCAAGAAGTTTTTAAGTGGGAGCTGGAGCTTGGCTTCTATTCTCCTCCTTGCTCCGTTCCTCTCTCTGCACACGGCCAGGTTAAATGTTCTCTGCCATTAGAAATCAATTACGATTCTCTGCTATATTGCATATGCTGTTGTGGCATGAGCTACACCTCAGCATACTGACTTCAGTTGCCCTTTCTTCTTGCCCTTGACATTTGAGTAGTAATTTGAAGGTGGAAAACTTCTCAGAGCATTATGACCATCCTGTCTCAGACCGATTCATTTGCCTGATGGGAATGGAGCTTTTCAAATCCCTAGGCCGACGTTTCTGCTAATTTTGCTGTGAGCCTTGGATATGTCATTTAACTTCCTAGGTCTCTTACCCGTTTTTTTATCTGTTAAATGAGGTCCTTATGATCTCAAAAGATCCTGCTGACTCTTCAACAGTTAGGAATGCTTTTTGCTGCAAGTTACAGGACAAACAGATTTGTGTCACATCACAAGAAACCTAGAGATAAGTGGCTGTTGACATTGGTTCAGCAGTTCGTAGTTACCTAGATCAGCATCTCTGCAACTCTTTTGGGCTTTTTCTCATCTTGCCACCTGATGGTCACCCAGAGGGCTGCTGGCTTTTAGGTGTGACATCCACGTTCTGCACAAGAATAAAGGGATAAGCAAGGAACCTCCTCTTCTTGAGGCTTTGTCTTTTTTAGGAAAGAGATGCTCTCCCAGGAGAGTTCCCCCTACATCTGGTTTCCCCAGAATCTGCACTTGGCCACTCAGAGGTAGAAGAGAAGCTGGGAAGTCAAGTGTTCCATTTTCCAGGCTCTGTAGAAAAGGAGGCGAAGCAGAAGGCTGTTGAGGTGGGTGCTGAGTCAACCCGCAATACCTGCCACAGGCTGTGAAGGTTGAAGTGTGGCATCCCCACCCCCCCTTAGCTTGCCTATAGCTTTACCTGTCTCAGATGGGCAGAGTAAGGGAGTGGGTAGGCATTATTACTGTCCCTAAATATTCCCAGTTCTTCTCCCCTTCTGGCCACACTGAGGGACAGTACTTCTTCACCATGTGAAGACAGGTACAGCCAGGTAACTCGCTTTGGCCAATAACATGCATGCAGAAGTGACACGCGTCCATTCCAGATGAAAGCACTTATGAGCCAGTGTGTAACTCTCAGTATCTTCTCATCTCCCTACCCCTATATCTAGAGATGTTCCAGGTGGCAGAAGTACCACCAGCCCGGGGCCAGAGGTGAGGATGAAATGGAGCAGAGCCCCCTGATGGCACAGACGGGACACATAGCATGGGTGTGATTCAGGCAGTTGCAAGTTATCATAGTATAACTTAGAGTGTCCAGACTGAAACAGATGGGCAGAGAGGATGTACTCATTGAAAACTCCACAACTATTGCTAAGCCCCAGTCTAGAGTCTAGCAGCTCCAGCTCTTCCTGAGTTTGGCCATTTCCTTTGCTCCTTCCTTCACTTCTGCCCTGTGGTATTAAGAGCTCCCCAAATGACCAAGTGCTCCACTGGCCATGCAGACATGGTGACTGAACATCTGCTGAGATGAGTGCCTGTTAGAGCTCTGCAGCTCTGTGTTGTGCTGGGGGACCACATGGAGGGTTCCTTTCAACATCTTTTTGTTAGGTTTCTCTCTGGCTCCTCAAAGTGGGGAGAGAATGGGGACCTTTCTAAGGCTGCAGCACTTGAAATCATTTTTGTGCTCCGGCATATGAGATAATAATGTTGATGGTTTTGTAACAAAGTTCTGTGGGACCCATTATCACCATCATCATTATCACCACCAACACCTTTGCCGTCGTTATTAATATTGTTGCTTGTAACAACATTTAACATTTAGGGAGAACTATTATTGGGCTGGGGACTGAAAACATACAATCTCTTCCCACTGAAGACACATCTTCAAAAAGCCACCAGGATAAGCTAGTCATAGAAACCCTAGGAAAGATGGATAACCCTCACCTATGAATGCAGAGAGAGGTGGAATAGGGGTGTGGAGAAGGAGTGGATTAGGCAGTCAGGAAATTTGTTCCTTACTCATTCTTGTACTTCCCTCTGACCTAAACAAGGCTCTTGTCTTTTTAGTGTCCTACTTTTTCCAATTTATTGTTAAATATAAAGAATACATGTACTCAAATCTTTTCAATATTCTAATAAACACAGAGAGACAAACATTGATCTAAGAAAAATCTACATAATGGTCAACTTGTCAAAGCCAAGTCTGGGGGTGCAGTGAGTGACTTCACAGGCCCCAGTTTCCCTAGATCAGAGGGGGATCTGAGGCAGTGAGTATGCTTTTCCTGCCCTGTAGGAGCTATTTGCTTATTTGGAAGGAGAGAAATGGATAGACAAACAGGAAGGGCTAAATAACATTAGGCTATTTATTTGCAAATATGAGCAGTCCTGTGGTGTCTGCATATGCAGGAAGATATTGGATAGGAGAGAAGCAGCAGGGCTGGCCATGGCAGTTTATCAGCCTGGAACTCCTCATTTCCGGCTATAAACTCTCACATGCCACTCAGACACATTAACACTCATGTCCTTCCCTACATAGTCCCAGAGG